AAAAATTTACTTTGTCATTTGAATATAAATAATGATTATGATAAAGGAAAAATGGACAGTTGTGATATGCAATCAGATCAACCAAATATTGACACGCTGGTTTTTATATTTTAATTTTCTACAAATAAAACAATGTACCTTTGTTTTTTTCTGATGGTGCGGTCGGTGTGGGTAGTGTGGTCGGTGTGGGTAGTGTGGTCGGTGTGGGTAGTGTGGTCGGTGTGGGTAGTGTGGTCGGTGTGGGTTGTGTGGTCGGTGTGGGTTGTGTGGTCGGTGTGGGTAGTGTGGTCGGTGTGGGTAGTGGGCGGTGTGTGGGTGTGTGGTCGGTGTGGGTAGTGTGGTCGGTGTGGGTAGTGTGGTCGGTGTGGGTAGTGTGGTCGGTGTGGGTAGTGGGTCGGTGTGGGTAGTTGCGTCGGTGTGGGTAGTGTGGTCGGTGTGGGTATATGTCGGTGTGGTAGTGGTCGTAGGGTAGTATGGTCGGTGGGGTAGTGTGGTCGGTGTGGGTAGTAGTGGTCGGTGTGGGTAGTGTGGTCGGTGTGGGTAGTGTGGTCGGTGTGGGTAGTGTGGTCGGTGATGGGTAGTGTGGTCGGTGTGGGTAGTTTGGTCGGTATGGGTAGTAGTGGTCGGTGTGGGAGTGTGTCGGTGTGGGTAGTGTGGTCGGTGTGGGTAAGTGTGGTCGGTGTGGGTAGTGTGGTCGGTGTGGGTAGTGTGGTCGGTGTGGGTAGTGTGGTCGGTGTGGGTTGTGTGGTCGGTGTGGGTAGTGTGGTCGGTGTGGGTAGTGTGGTCGGTGTGGGTAGTGTGGTCGGTTGGGTAGTGTGGTCGGTGTGGGTAGTGTGGTCGGTATGGGTAGTGGTCGGTGTGGGTAGTGTGGTGGTTGGGTAGTTGGTCGGTGTGGGTATGTGTCGTGTGGGTATGTGGTGTGGGAGTGTGGTCGGTATGGGTAGTATGGTCGGTGTGGGTAGTGTGGTCGGTATGGGTAGTATGGTCGGTGTGGGTAGTGTGGTCGGTATGGGTAGTATGGTCGGTGTGGGTAGTGTGGTCGGTATGGGTAGTATGGTCGGTGTGGGTAGTGTGGTCGGTATGGGTAGTATGGTCGGTGTGGGTAGTGTGGTCGGTATGGGTAGTATGGTCGGTGTGGGTAGTGTGGTCGGTATGGGTAGTATGGTCGGTGTGGGTAGTGTGGTCGGTATGGGTAGTATGGTCGGTGTGGGTAGTGTGGTCGGTATGGGTAGTATGGTCGGTGTGGGTAGTGTGGTCGGTATGGGTAGTATGGTCGGTGTGGGTAGTGTGGTCGGTATGGGTAGTATGGTCGGTGTGGGTAGTGTGGTCGGTATGGGTAGTATGGTCGGTGTGGGTAGTGTGTCGGTATGGGTAAGTATGGTCGGTGTGGGTAGTGTGGTCGGTATGGGTAGTATGGTCGGTGTGGGTAGTGTGGTCGGTATGGGTAGTATGGTCGGTGTGGGGTAGCTGGTGTGGTCGGTATGGGTAGTATGGTCGGTGTGGGTAGTGTGGTCGGTATGGGTAGTATGGTCGGTGTGGGTGGTTGAGTCGGTATGGGTAGTATGGTCGGTGTGGGTAGTGTGGTCGGTATGGGTAGTATGGTCGGTGTGGGAGTTAGTGTGGTCGGGTATGGGTGAGTTGGTCGGTTGGATTGGTCGTTGGGGTAGTGTGGTCGGTTAGTGGGTAGTATGGTCGGTGTGGGTAGTGTGGTCGGTATGGGTAGTATGGTCGGTGTGGGAAGTGTAGTCGGTGTGTGGTAGTATGGTCGGTGTGGGAAGTGTGGTCGGTTGGGTTGGGTTGGTGTATGGTCGGTGTGGGTAGTGGTGGTCGGTGATGGGTTGTAGGTGGTCGGTGTTGGTGGGGTAGTGTGTCGGTATGGGTGTATGGTCGGTGTGGTCGGATGGTAGTGTGGTCGGTGTGGTAGTGGAGTAGTATGGTCGGTGTGGGTAGTGTGGTCGGTATGGGTAGTATGGTCGGTGTGGGTAGTGTGGATCGGTGTGGGTAGTATGGTCGGTGTGGGTAGTGTGGTCGGTATGGGTAGTATGGTCGGTGTGGGAGTGTGGTCGATGTGATGGGTTGGTAGTGTGGGTATGGTGTGGGGTGTGGTAGGTCGGTTGGGTAGTTGGTCGGTGGGTAGTGTGGTGGTAGTTGGTGTGTGGTAGTGGCTGGTTCGGTGTGGGTAGTGTGGTCGGTATGGGTAGTATGGTCGGTGTGGGTAGTGTGGTCGGTATGGGTAGTATGGTCGGTGTGGGTAGTGTGGTCGGTATGGGTAGTATGGTCGTGTGTAGGGTGTGTGGTCGGTATGGGTAGTATGGTCGGTGTGGGTAAGTGTGGTCGGGTATGTGGTAGTATGGTCGGTGTGGGGAAGTGTGGTCGGTGATGGGTGGTATGGTCGGTGTGGGTAGTGTGGTCGGTATGGGTAGTATGGTCGGTGTGGGTAGTGTGGTCGGTATGGGTAGTATGGTCGGTGTGGGTAAGTGTGGTCGGTATGGGTAGTATG